TTTGCGTGTGCTGTGAACGTAGCATAAGGATCTCCATTAAGCATCAGCCATTGAGGCCAGAAACACTTTGAACAAAAGTGAATCTAAAATGCAGATTGTTTCTAGCTTAACTTGGCTATAAACATTTTACTCTAACCAGCCAATCAGAGGACAGAAAATGCTGATGTAGGGGCGGGGCCTCTAGCGTGAGGCAAACCTGAAATCTGATTGGTTGGAGAAAATGTTCCTCGCTAATGTTGTTAAGGTAACATCAGCAGCACTGCTGACTCTGAAGGCCCTGGGCTGATTAGATTGCCATAGCAACACACTGAGGCTGTATTCTGATTGGACAGAAAATACAGCAACTAGATAAATGTAATGAAACAGCGCAGCCAAGAGAAACACTTCAAAATTAAGAGAATGGATTGTTTGGAATAAACTAATACAGCTGGAAAGAAGAGAAAGTTTAGCTATGAATGTATGTTAGTGTTTCTGATTGATTTTAGGCCTGCAGTGAAGCCCTGAGCGCCCACCACATGTAATTAGATGATTATTAAGTTTAACTCTGCCACACACCTTGGTTTTGTATTGGTAGCTCCACTGTATTTCTTGATAGCCACCATGAAGCCACCAAATTCTCCTTTGTAGACCTTTGAGGTTGTTGTAGTCATGAATGGCTCTGTTTCTACATTCTTCAGTTCCTCTGGTTTAATTATTCGGATGTCCATGGTTAGGATTCTGGGCTTATTCACTGTGAAGACATTAAGACAGATGCTGTTTTCAGATCTTCAGATTATCAAAACAACCAGTTGCAAGAGCTTAGTTTATTTGTTCATTTGATTTTCATACTTCCCCCTTTAAAATTTCAGTCTTTTTTTATACTTTACTTCCAGGTTATGTAGGTTCAGATTAACAAATATTCAAGTTGTTTAGTTTTGTTTGAGTTTACATCTCAGTCTATTTGGATTTGATGAAAAATGGTTCAACCAGCTAAATGCTGAGCAGGTTGTTCGCTATTGTGCGACTATACCCACTTCTCCAGGGCAGGGGATTGAGGAAATTTGGGGCCCTAAGCAAAGACAGGCAGGGGGCCCTCTGAATGGAGAAGGCAGCACATAAAACAGACCCATTATCCAGATAGAGAA